AGCTTAAGAAGCAGTTTGGTCAATCGGATTAGTGGACAATGCTAAATGCATGTGTAAAGGGCAATTTACGGCTCAAAAAAAAAAGTTTTGAGCTTGTCCACTTCCGACCACTTTCAGAAGTAGTTGAAAACGCATCTGATTGGATTGCTTTCATAGAGACAATGCTAATGTGGTCGAATGTGTTCTAACAGTTTCCTCTCCCCTACTGACCTAATGCATAAACATAATGTGCTAGCCAGGCAGGATTTAAACTTTACCGCCTGAAACCCAAATTTGGTTTGAAGACGAAAAAAGTACCAAGCACAATGTTCTCTCACCATTCCTGATTTCTAATCTGATGTCTTATGGTTATCAAAGCAGAAACGAAAGATGATGTTTTTCTGTCGTCTCCTCGTGTGTAAATTGCTCTAGCTTATTTTGTCCATTAGATCGAAAGATCTGAAAAAGCCTATTTACCCGCCAACAGACCCTCCCTTCAAAAAAAAAAATCAGGACAGAAGTGGTCGCAAGTGGACAAAATAGACAGATTAAAACATGTTGTAAACGGGAATATGGCTCCCTCGTCTACTTGTGATCCAATCAAACAAAACGCATTTTAATACCAGGTGTAAACAGTAGCATCGAAAAGATCACTATGATTTACAATAGGTTTTACAACATAGCCTGGATTAGAAGAACAAGCAAAACCACATGTAGCCAAAAATAATAAAAATAAATTATGTAATAAATTCCTCACCACTGCTGTATGCTACTCCCTTCCTCTTTTTTTTCCGTTCGGACTTTCAGCAGCCAATCACCTTCAGGCACAGATGGGGTGGGAGTATTATACAGTGGATGGGAGTACAGAGCCTCCAGTTTGGCAAGGTCATCTACTGTGCTGTCTGTTTCCTCCTCCAGGGTGTCACTTTCTGCAGTAGCCATTGTGTTTGTTGAAGTAGATGTATTCTGGACGAAGAAGCTGATGGAGGTCCGGATGTCAGGGTGTGAGCGGGGCTCACAAGTAGTGTGGTATGTTGACAGGACAAGTGAAACCACAAGCAAATGCAGACTCAGGAAGACAATTAATAGCCACATACGCAATGTCTGTGAACGTCGACGTGTGCATACTCGCATTGTACTGAAATGAGATGGCAAAGGTCATTAATTTCAACTCAGTCGTCTGTAGTATAGAATATAGAGCAAAACATACCCGGCTTCCAGATTAAGGTGTTTTCGTCTCCGTATGCCTGGACTAAAAGGAAGCTTGGTTTGTCCTTTAGACCTTCATTCCCCTGTTTGTTACCTTGCACTCTCTGTTTCTCTCAAACATTACAAAGGAGAGGTGCCAGGTTAGGCTGATCTGAATGGACGTGTTTACTTTCCCCCCTGCAATGTCTAGCACACATCAGGGTTGTAGTGTATTCTCTACTCAGAAGAACCTGAATTGACTGTTAAGGGAGAGCGGGGCAAACTGTGCCACTTTTTACCAAAGTTGAAAGTTGTTTGGTCACATTTATGAAGGAATTCATGAAGACGATTATGTATTGTATTTTAAGGCCATGAGTATCTTACAGAGGCTTTACAGTGATACCAAATGTTGGGGGTTTGGCCATGAAAACGTAAACTTGAATCAAATTTTATATATTTCTGACATTCATAGTGAATTATTCATAGATTTTTGCCATTAATACACTCAATAGATCATGCAATGCAAAAATATAATGATGTGGGAAGGATTTTTTTTTTTCTGTGTGCCAAGAAGCAAAAAGGTAAGGAAAAGATTTTATACAAGAAACTATTTAATAACAAATTATCCAATTCCATCTACAGTAGTATAGCAAATCAGACAACGCTAAGACAATGCTATTTATATTGACAATAAAATAAAACTTAAAAAATATATATTTTCAGTATTTTGTTTTGTTGTGCATTAAGTTTTTATAAACAAAAATTTTTTTGATAATTATAGAAATAAACAAATTTTATTTTAAAAAACAGTTAAAAATAATAACAAAATATTTTAAGAAAATATTAATATTAAAATTAGAATAAAACAGTGAACATGTAATAAAATATTTCTATTTTATTGTGTATTATTCTTTATCTTTTATTTTCAACTATTTGTTTGTCCAATTTTTTTAAACAATTTACATTCTTGATAATAAAAAAGCAGGCAAAAAAAAAAATAAAAAATCCTTGGTTGGACTAAACAAACAAATTATGAAATGTTGCTCCTTCATTTCCCCCAGTATTCCCTGTTATATGCTTTTTAAATGCATATATTATATGCATTTAAACTGCCATGTAGAGTACAAACCAAAGTCTACTAGACCATTCCAAATCAGGTGAGACAGGTGCACAAATGCTCTTTTGGGTCTCATAATCTCAACCTATATCTGATGGGGGACCTCCTCACCATGGTAACTCTGACACAAATTGGCATGTGCATCTCTCAAGCACACATGCGCCCACATTAACCACATTCACATCTAATCGTGCCCCAGCAGAAGAACAGCTCACACCACATGGTGCTTTTGCGATCAAATCTGCATGTTTGTTAATCTTGCATCATGGCTTGCAATCAGAAATCCGAAGTCAAAGTTTATGGCGTCTAAGCCAATGATGATACATATAGTGACACAGAAGTTCATGTTCACATTTAGAATTAGTTCTCATTCAGCACCCTGTATAAGTGGACGGTTTTTTCTGGGTTGCTAAGTAACAGTTTTAAAATGAAGCTGATCAAAAGGGAGACGCCAGAAGGCCAAACAATTAAATCAAAGTTGTTTAGAGTGTGGGAGGCTGTTTTCATTAAGTGCTGCAGACCAAAAGATTGACTGTGGTTTGATAATATGGCAGGCATATTACCTTCTTACAAACCCAAACAATGTTTTTTTTCCAGTATTACGGGATCATATTGGTGCCTGCAATTGTACAAATCATAACCGTATATTTCTTTAAGTGATATAATGTTAATATACCAATCTTTGACTATCAAAAATATAAATCCTTTTACTGTTTTCATCATATATTTTAGTAATTTATAGCTTTTACTTGCGAAAAAAACAGATTTGGAAATATTATACAGTAAAATAAGCAACATACATATACACATATATATACATATATATATATATATGAAAAAAAAACATATATATATATAAAGTTTGTGTTTACATAATATTTGTGTGTGTGTAGTGTGTATAATTATTTTGTATATATAAATACACACGTATGCATGTATATATTTAATAAAAATGTTTTATCAATATATCAAATATTTATATTTTTGTCTAATATTAATTTTGTAGTAATATATATAAAGTATACATGCAAATATTTCTTAAATATACACGCATGTGTGTGTATTTACACAAAATTATACACGGTCCACCCACATATATTATGTAAACACAAACTTTTATTTTGGATGCGATTAATCGCGATTAATCGTCAGAGCCCTAATATATATTTATTTAGCTTGACAGCACCTGTGCCCATGCACTTTCATTGAAAGTAAAAGAGCAGCCTGAACATTCTGCTAAATGTCTGTTTGTTGTGCTCCACAGAAGCATGACGTTCGTAAATGATGACAAAATTTGGTTAATTATTACTTAAGAATAATGTGCTATACCTGATGCACAAGTGGATGTACTTTTGCTGTAGGTCTAAAAAAAGGTGAGCAAAGAAAAGTTACTGTGTGGATATGGGAAGGAGGGCAGGGTGATCTGACAGCAGGTCAGTGTGGTGTGTGTGTGTGTGTGTGTGTGTAAACAGATGCTCTAAGCCAGATTTCTACACTCCCTTGTGCAATAATGTGTCAATAAAATGAGCCTCGACAACTCAACATTTGAACCCATGCTCTTTAAAACCACTTATATCGCCCGACACAGGATGTGGTTCTGACCAAAGGATAATGGTATTTTTCTCCATTGACAACCATTTAAAAGTACTGTTGGGGAAGTTTTCCAGGGATGGCTTACTTTTCTGTCATTTTAAGTTAAGTGGACTCTTCAAAATAAAGGTTCTTTATTGCCACTTTGGTTCCATGAAGAACCATCAACATCAATGGAATGTTTATCATTCTACAAAAGGTTCTTTATAGTGGAAAACGGTTCTTTACATTTTTAAGATGTTGTTCATTCAAAGAATTTATAAGAAGTTATAAAATTATAACTTATGGTGCAAAAAGCCTCCCTTAAGGGGTTAGTTCACCCAAAAATGAAAATTCTGTCAGTATTTACTCACCCTCATGTTGTTCCAACCCCGTAAGACCTTCGTTCATCTTCGGAACACAAATTAAGATATTTAAGATATTAAGATCGCTCCTGCATACAGTCCATAGGCTTCTTGAGGGACTGGCTCTTGCTGTCCCCGAAAAGTCATTAAAGACATCGTTAAAATAGTCCAAGTGACTACAGGGGCTCAATCTTAAGTTTATCAAACGACGAGAACACTTTTGTGCGCAAAAAAAACAACAAAAATAACGACTTTATTTCAACTATTCACTTCCTTCTCCATGAGCCTGTAATTCAGTTAACGTAGTGTGATTGCGTAGAGCTACGTCACACGTAGGCTCACTATTGGCCGACGCTAGTCATGTGTGTGTGATGCGTGTGACGTACAATAACAGAAGCTTACGCTATTAAACTAGTAACCTGACTCGCGCAGAGGGAGAAATAAACGAATAGTTGAAATAAAGTCGTTATTTTTGTTGTTTTTTTGCGCGCAAAAGTGTTCTCGTCATTTGATAAACTTAAGATTGAGCCCCTGTAGTCACTTGGACTATTTTAACGATGTCTTTAATGACTTTTCGAGGACAGCAAGAGCCAGTCCCTCAAGAAGCCTATGGACTGTATGCAGGAGCGATCTTAATATCTTAAATATCTTAATTTGTGTTCCGAAGATGAACGAAGGTCTTACGGGGTTGGAACAACATGAGGGTGAGTAAATACTGACAGAATTTTCATTTTTGGGTGAACTAACCCTTTAAGAGTGTAAGATAAAAAGGTACAAAAGAGTTTCACTTCTATTGGGGTTTTATTACACAAGACAATGACATAATAGTCATTAATAAAAACAAACACACATTGCAGCTGTACAAAATGTACAACTCTTATAAAATATCGGAAGTATTCAAAACAGATCATACGTATTCACATATTAATTAAAAAAATAGTATTTTGTCTTAGAAAAATACTTTATCCATTCATAAAAAATGGAAGGAATAGAAATGATAAACAGGACGGACAGAAAGGAGACAGATGGAGAAAAAGAATGGCAGAGATGGACAATAAAACCCACAGATGGCCTGCCAGCCAACTGTTAATATGAAGATGAAAACAAAAAAATGCTACACTAAAAATGCAATGTACAAAATGATGCACCCTGTTCAGTACAGGATATATAATCAAACAATAAAGAAACATATAAATACTTGTGGCACATTCATTATAAAGTCAGAAAGCACATGAAAAATGTTAGGAACACTTCCATACGCACACCGCCAGACTTCCACCGAAGAACATGTAAAGAAGATTCTTCACTTCGTGTGTAATTTCGAAACCAAAGCCCTCGCCAATCACCACATGCCAAGAGTTCCCAAACTTCTTATCCATCGACTCCTTAATCATTTTAGCGGCGCTCTGTAGAGCAGGAAATAACGTTAGGAATCACAAAGGAGATCTTATTAATATCTCAACTACTTCTTCTAGATGGGAATGTGAGCTAACCTCATTATTAGAGGCAAACTTCTCGCACGCCGTAACGCAGAGCTCCATGGTTTCCACCCGCATCTCCTCAGGCATATCTGTGTGCTGTGGAGGGAATATATGTAGCGGCTCAATTTGACCCACATCGATTTTTGGTGGTTTGATATTTTTCTTGAAGTTTTGTGATTTGACGACACTCTGACGTGTAGAGTTTATGCGTGTGACGTCACTGTCGGCCGGAGTGCCTGAAGTTACTCACAGCGAGTGGCAAAAAGACTGAGCGGCTGTATTTGTTATTAGCGTGAATGCCGCGAAAAACAAACACAACACATATAAAGTGGGAAAGAGTTTTGCGATTGACTGTACAACTAGATTTGACAAAAATCAGAGGTATATTTTTACAGACTGCTAGAAAGAGGAGCAAATGGATCGCTGCAATTCACAGAAACAACTGGACTCCAGTCAGCAAAAGGTGGATTTGTAGTTATCATTTTGTGTCAATATGCTGAATTTAGCTGTAAAACCATACCCATATATTTTGTAGTGTTATATATATTAACAACTCATCAATTAAATATTTATCATTGTATATTCTGCATTATTGGATGTTTTTTTAATAAACACTGACCAAAAAAAGAAAAAACAGACGATATATGATGATATATATAGGCTATATAACACTGATATAAGTGATCACCCAGATTTAGACCGACCTATATTGTATTTATAAAAAACGTTCACAGGGAAATTTGCTTTATGTTTAGGTCTATATTGCTTTTATTTCCCCGGTGTTGAAATCAGACAAACATAAATGTCAGGCAACATGATTCCTGGCTGCATGTCAATATCCATGGATCACTGAATCTTTAGTAAGTTGGAAGGAACACTATATTGAGTCCAACATTTAGTTTAAATTGATAAAATTGTTCGTTTTAGTCGCATTTTCACAGTTTCCACTATTAAATCCAGTCACGCAGCAGATCTTTTGCCACTCAGTCAGGTTGAGGGGGGTTGTTCCGGCGGGAAAGTGACGTCAATGCATTCCCTCTATTGTGCGTACAACATTTATATAATTATGATGTTTCGACCCGCATATTTCATGGTTAAAGGCAGCTGCACAGACACAAAATAAAACCTTTTTGTGTGATGCCAGTTTCTCACATACTGTCTGAGGGTACTATTGACAGTAGAGTTGCGCGATTCTCCCATGATCCTGAACAGACAACTAAACACAACGTAATTTACTAGAGGTTCTGACAAAACTGCTGCAGTCTTTTTCAAATGTTTTCTTAAAGCGTAAATTGCAGGTTAAATTTTTCACAAAGATACATAAAGTATACTAAACATAATGTAATCAACCGCCCACAATTGTGTGACGTCATAAAAGGGACTCCAAGCTTTTACTGTCTATGCCTGGTCTATGCTCCAAGAGTTACAGTTAGTCTAAACGGCAAGTAGGCTAGCAGTTATATTGGAGACCTAGTTAGCAAAAATGTTTTGTGCGGGATGTACGAATACATCAAAAACGGGTGAGAGGCTCCACAAGTGGCAGAGAGAAGTTTCCACTGTTTATAATATTCATAACTTGTGGAAAAAAAAATTATTTGTATGGTGATTTTATACATCAAATGTTCTACTTCTAATGTTTTTTGGAAACACTTTGCCATTAGGTTTCATTGGCTAACTATTGTCAACACAAACTAAGTATTAATAATACTTTTACAGCATTTATTAATCTTAGTTAATGTTAATTTTAACATTAATGCACTGTGAGAACTAACATGAAAAAACAAAGAATGACTTATTTTTATTTACTAACATTAACAAAGATTAATAAATAGGCCTACTATATTGCTCATTGTAAAGTTCATGTTAGTTTATACATTAACTAATGTTAACAAATGAGACCTTATAGTAAAGCGTTTCCTATTTTCTTTTCTTTTCTTTTATTTATGAGAGAGAAGTATTAATGTTACACGATTTTTTGCTGGTTTGGCAAGTGTGACTTTTGGTGAATTGTTTGTATTTGACAAGCTGCACCACGAAAAAAGCATGCCCAGAATTTGAACCTATTACAATGAGATTGAGAAAAATTCAATTCCATTTAGACAACAGTTTTTGTTTTTACCCGTATGAGAGGAAAGCTGTGTAGTCTCTTATAGTCTGCCTCGTCCTTCTTGCCATCAACTGTCTCTGCCATGATGTTTAGCTCTAGATGAGGAAACATTAACAGATGTAAGAGACCAGAATTCATAAATATTTTAATAAATCTAAGATGGGTATGGGAAACAGTGGTATCATTAATATCATGGTATTTTTATACCATAGAACAGAAAACGTACTTCAAAGAATACAATGATATTTCTATTATAAGGGTTTATTGGCATGAATTTACCATTCTACATTGTCCAAATAACACATTTAATACCATAATACTATTTGAACAATACAAATGCAATATAGAAGCATATTTTAAGGTGGTTACTAATAGTTCAGCACGTTTCTGAAGCTGACTTTGCTTTGGAAAGCAAACAGTATAATATTAGGGAACCTGCTAGCTTGTTAGCATTGTTAGCTCACTTGATTGGCTCGGTCTCTAGCTTTTATTTCCACGAGTCGTTTCACTACCCAAGCATATAACGTTGCATATAAACGAACCCGGAAGGTGTAAAGAGACATTTACGTACCGTAGTGAAAGAAAACTCAAGTTATATGAGCTTAAACTGACGTCGCTAAGGAGACATGTCCACCATGGCAACCACTCCTGCGCGTCAGCTGAGAGCGTAGCTCCGCCTCTCCCAAAATTAAGCTCATCTTGATTGGTCCTTTGGCGTGTCGGTCAAGGAGTTCAAGAATACGTCATGCACCTGTATTTTATCGATTGTCGAGATTTTCTTTTATTTCGTAATGTCGTAATGTTTGGGGGAAAATGGAACAATTTGAATTTGTTTTATTTTAATTGCATTTACTCAAGATTATTTTGGAAGGATTATTTTGAAAGAAAACTGTGGTGTATGGAATAGGATAAAGATTAAAAGGCTAGATACATTGAGCAATGTTTTTAATTTTATTAAGAAACCGAATTCACACGAATTTGGATATTTGCAATCCACATTTATACATTGTATAGCAAGCAAAACCATGCTTTACTGGCAAAAAGAAACAATAGTTTATAGACTTAAAATTATAAATAAAAGTTTTGGAAATAACTTAAAACAACACAAAAGCAATTAAAACATGTAATGTAGAATATTATTTAACTTCTTTGTCTGGCAGCTGGTGTTACAGTAATAACACAGGCTAATACCTCTTGTTATTGTGGCGTTGAATAATAAATAATGATCATTTCATTGGTCTATTCTGGAAAAGGTTACTTTAAACATTCAAAGGATCTCTTCTGTTATGTATAAGTCAACATCAATCAGAAATTATGATTGTCTTTAATTCCCTAATGTGACCTATATCCAAATGAAATGGCTTCTGAACAAATGACTTGGTTTTTTGGTTAATTGTTTGGATAGCTGGTTTGCTATTGGTCGATCTCATGTGAGTGACAGGTTTCCCCGCCCATGTGCCAGTAAAAGCATCATCAACAATGAATATAAGCTATGTTATTATTTTCTTACCTATATGCCATTCCAAAACTTTATGCTGCATATTAACATATCATATCCACACAACAAGTAAATGAAAACAGAATTGTTTTGGTAAACTATCCATTTAAGCTCAGTACTTTATGAGGGCAGACAGCATCTGTGTCAGAAAACTGCCCTCTAGATGCTACATCTGTCCCACTGCATTCATCTTTGTTGTTTTCTCTCACTTTTTACTGACCTGCATTAAGCTCTTTGCACAGCTGCTGAGTTTGGCCCAGATAACTGTCACACTGATCTGAGACCTGCAGCAAGAGTTTACAGTGATGTTATATTACATTATAATTTACACTACTGCAGTACTCTCGTTTTTTTATAAAATAATCACTTACTTGACCTTATAAAAACGTTTTTAATTCCCCATTTCAGACAAATAAAAGGCATGAATAATAGCTCTGCGGTTAAACGTTAACAGCAGATAAACTTTACAACAGTGCAATAAAGTGTGTGATTTTAAATACTTTCTCCTCTATCCCAATTTGGTATATTCAGGGATAGTGTTAAGCTAGCCATTTGTGGGTTAGGATATACAGTATGCGTTCGGATTTTGCGGCACAGCGTTTGATAATCTAAAAGCTTTCCGTGAGTTTCCCAGACAGAGCATGCTTTGATTTGTGGATTATAGGGGATTTTCAGTTACTAGATAGATTTACAAATAAAAGCAGGGGGAGGGGATAATCTAACCTCTAGTGTGAGCAAGAATATAAAAGGAGGTTAAGAGTGGTACCTAATGAGAAAAAGAGAAGAGGCTTGCAACAGAAGAGAGTCTGGCTGCACATTGAACACAGTGACACTTACAGGGCGTTACTAGAAAAGTCACTTTGTGAATGTGTCAAACAGATGCTGCAGTGAATAATGGTAGCCTTTGTACACCATACTTGTTATGGTATTATTTTTTATGTGATTTTGCTTTCTTGCCCAGCTGCTTTTTTATGATTTAACTTAAACATTATTGAAAAGATGAAATTAATTGAAATGTCAAATACAGGTTGTACAGAGCAGAGGACATGCAAACACACACACACACACACACACACACACAGAGAGAGAAAAGGTTTCTGGGGGGAGAGAAGTCAGTGAGTGTGATGGAGGGTGTGGTTAACACTCATCTATTATTCAGCAGCATGTAGAGAGTGAATGAGAGCATGAGAATGAGAATAACCAGGATTTGCATTTTCATTCTAAACATTGAGCCAATTATAATCTCATTGTGTATGTACAGTGTTACTTCATGTATATGTTTTGCTTTGGATTGGTCTAAGTAGTAGTCATGACTAATAAATTCAATTTACTGTAAACTCATAGCAGTCATGATCAAATTAGATAGATAGATAGATAGATAGATAGATAGATAGATAGATAGATAGATAGATAGATAGATAGATAGATAGATAGATAGATAGATAGATAGATAGATAGATAGATAGATAGATAGATAGATAATATACAGTAGATGCATACAGTAGATAGATAGATAGATAGATAGATAGATAGATAGATAGATAGATAGATAGATAGATAGATAGATAGATAGATAGATAGATAGATAGATAGATAGATAGATAGATAGATAGATAGATAGATAGATAGATAGATAGATAATCTATCTAGAATAGATAGATAGATGGATAGATAGATAGATAGATAGATAGATAGATAGATAGATAGATAGATAGATAGATAGATGGATGGATAGATGGATAGATAGATAGATGGATAGATGGATAGATGGATAGATGGATGGATAGATGGATGGATGGATGGATGGATGGATGGATGGATGGATGGATGGATGGATGGATGGATGGATGGATGGATGGATGGATGGATGGATGGATGGATGGATGGATGGATGGATGGATGGATGGATGGATGGATGGATGGATGGATGGATGGATGGATGGATGGATGGATGGATAGATAGATAGATAGATAGATAGATAGATAGATAGATAGATAGATAGATAGATAGATAGATAGATAGATAGATAGATAGATAGATAGATAGATAGATAGATAGATAGATAGATTTTTTGACATTTCATGACATTTAAAAAGTAAATATACTTACAAGACAATGCACTCTCATGTTTATTTTCTTCACCTTTTTAATATTTTCATCCACATTCGTCACAATATCATTGTAGATCCTTGGTGGTGCAAATATATGAAGAAGCACTACACTGACATTACAGCTGATCATCACCCAATAGCAAGAGTCAAAGAAACAGACAGGCACTTCCCTAAGCTTTTCTCTGTGATGGGGCAAGGAGGGCTATAGGTGCAATGCAAAGGTAACACGACAAGATGCTAAATACTGTTATACATTCATATTTTCATAGTGAGTGGGCAGAACATTAGATCTTCATAATTTTGTGTGACGTTTAAGATACTAAGCTTCAAATAACACATTTTGGTTCAAATATTTTAGGATCTCGCTGAACCTGTGAGAGAAAATACATTGCAGAGTAAGGACCCATTTCACCAGATGCAAAAATATCAACATTTTAAGACGTATTCTGATAAATATAAGACGGACTGGAAAAAAAACAGTGTAATAAAAAAACAAGAAAGCAAAAGGCTGCTCTGGGAAAGAAGCGAAAGCTCCACTTTACACAAATGATGAAACAAGAGCAAGACAAGTGCTGTGATAATGAGCCACATCCATCTTATTAGAAAAACATTCTCTAAATCTGAAGGGACCACTGTGTGGTTATGCTTTAAGAAGAAGGGCATGAAATAACACAAGCAACACGAGACACAAACAAGCCATCGGCAGCAGCTCTATCCGAACAAACACAATCACACACAGACAAATCCCTCCACTGCAGAAACGAACACTCAGAGAGAGTGTAGCTCTACGGTAAACACATTCTTTAACTAGACCGGGACCACAGCACAATTGCCATACATTTCAAGCCTTTTTTTTTTCTTATTTACCACCTCCTTAAAAAAGAAAGGTATGAACCCATGGTCCCGTTCATTGCCTCGGATGGGAGCTCTGAATACAGGGGTCCACATGGTCCTTGACAGCCCCACCAAACACGTCCACATCTCGGTCCGTCCAGGGCACCACGTTCCCCAGCCGTGGCGATTCTGGGCAAGACGCCAGAGCGGCCACTTCTGTTGGCGACAACACCCGGTCCCAAAGGTTAAATAATGAAAGCTCCCCAACAAGAGCCTGGGATGCATCAAACCGCCCACCAAGGGTGTCCTGCAGTTAAGCCAAGGAGAACCGAAGGGTTACAAATCGATAAAAACAATGTGCAAAAGTGATACCTTCAAGGAACAACACTTTGTCAAAGGGGTACACCTTTGTACCTTAACGACTCCTGAAGGATGCAAACAGTGTCAGGGAAAAAATTGCAAACATTGTAACTTAAGGGGTAAAACAGCTTACTGGTGCAGGAAAAGGACAATTCTGTACCTTATCAACCCCTAAAAGGTGCGTTTGGGTAGTTGAAACTTTTAGGAGTGCGAATGGTACTGCCTCATTGACAAGATGTTGCACGCCTAAAACTTAAAATTTCAGCAATTTTTTCTGAGTGAAGGTGTACTTTCAAGACTCTTCCAGAACTCCCTGTATGCTCACCTGTTCCTGTCCCAATATCAAGACGCCCCCGGATTTGATTGGGTGCCATGCGGATAACCCTTCACCCCGTCCTCTCAACTTTCCGCCTTGATATGCTTTCCAAACTCCATCCCGTAGGGTCCAACTCACACATATGTGCTGCCAGATGCCCTGCGGCAAAGATAGAGGCAGCTGTGCCACCTGTAAATGGAGGGAACGGTTGAGTCCATCAACTGTATTCTGCAAGTTTGCTGCGGATGGAAGGTGTGGCGGGTCTTACCTTATCATTGATGAGTAGTTCTGCAGGATTATGAATTCCCTGCAACAGGACAATTTCATTGGGTTGTTCCGGTATGGCATAGGAAAATGGTGTCCCAATTCCACTCTCGGCAGGCTTGAGCCACAGACATGCGGTGAAGGCGTACATCTCTGGAATATTCCGCCTGACAAGCCCATACATGTAGTTAGTCCGCACGGGGAAGGAAAGTTTGTACCCTTGGGGGTAACTGTATTCTGTAAGACCTGAGGAGAAAAGATTAAGAGAATGAGTTTAAAATTGAGAGACGATTTCCCCCCATTTCCCCTGTGTTGGACCTAACCCTCGTCCTTACTCTGTTCCAGCTCTGCAATACGCTCTTGCAAGGTGTTGAGTCCTTGGTCGATGTGCTGGTGGTGGCTCTGGGTCTCTTTGCGCAGGTTCTTCCTCTCCTTCTCCAGCAGTCTAATCTTCTTTTCCAGCTCTCCCTCCAGATCCTCCACAGGCCTGCCGGGCTCGCCCACCACTACGCTCCCCAATGTGCTCACAGTGTGCTCAGTGTGGTTCAACGCTGCAGGGCCGATTTCCAACTGAGAGAGAATTATGCAAGAGGTCATTATCGCAAAACCTAATTTATCCTGTTTAGCATGTTTGTCTGATTATATTAGATTCCTTTTGCTTTACAAGAACTAAAAAAAATATGTGCAGTTGAACTAGAAAAAACTTAGAGCAAGAGCTGATGTTAGTATTATTTCTGATCCTCAAACACCTATTATGTGTTTTTAAAAGACTTGGAATATGATGCATGAGTTATACAAACTACTGTACTTTTTAAATGTTTTTTTTTTGTTGCTTTTACATCCTTTTGGATGCTTGAGCGCTCCTAATTGCATAGAAAAGATCGATCACTACATTCTTCAATACGTATTGTTCCTCAGAATAGTCAGAGTCATATGGCTTTGCAATGACATAAGGTTGAGTAAATTCAATTCACATTTTTGTATAGCACTTTTCACAATAGGCTATATAGTTTCAAAGCTGTCAATTTTTTTTATTTTTTTTCAGTTATAATTTTGGCAATTTTAGTACTTCAATTTATTTCATTTCAGTTAGTTGACCAGTTTTCAATATATATATATTTTTTAACTCTGGTCCATAAGTCTATTTCACGTCATCTCCAAATCAGCTGAGAACCTGTACTATTCTTTCATCCCTCATGATTTATGCATATGCCTTTGAGGAGATGAACAAGATGGAGGGGAAAGGAATCACTGTCAAGGTGAGAAAGAGACACAGAGACATACTACAATAACTATGAACGGAGACACTTCTCCCCAAAACTCCCAAGCATTTTGATGCATCTTTGCAAACACGTTTATTTACAAAACTGTTTCCCCTGCCCCATGGGCCATGGCACCAAATTCCCTTTCAGACAGATAATTATACGGTCAAGTTTTAAATAGCTTATTATAGCCTAATTACCAACCTCCAACTTCTCTATGCGATCTTTAAGTTGAAGAATCGCTCTCTCCAGTTCCTCCACAGCCCGCGCCGTCTGCAGCTGTACTGCAACCGAGCTGCTCACATCATCCCCGGCCATATGGCGCCGGTTGCTCGCCCAAACTCCCATACTCCGCTCATTCAGAGTCCTCTCCTCCAGTCCGTTCTCGCACTCCGTGAGTTTCCCGGTTAGCTCCGTGATGGTCCTCTGGTCCATGATGATCTGGTCGTTTTGTTGCATGACGAGCTGTCGGAGCTCCTCAGCAGTGGTGCGGAGGCTCCAGTCCTCCTCGTCGGCAAACGGGTCATCGGCTTGTTGTCTCAAATCCCTTGATTTGCAATCACTTATGGGAACAGGGGTACAAATGAGTCGATCGAGAGTGAACTGTTTGGGACTCGGCCCAGTCACGTCCCCGGTGCTCAATTCATTGAGGGACGGTATCTCCAGGCCGATGTCCAATCCGCCTCCTTCGTATGATTCAGCACCATGGAGAGCTCCGAGCGGGCCGGCGCGCGCCACGGATCCCGGCAGCGGCTCCAGCAGTGAGAGCGAGCGGTTGTCGGAGAGCGCCTGGGGCGCGGCGGCCGATGATCGCGAGTACACGCTGGCGATGATGCAGATGACCGCGCCAAGAAAAGCCAGGAGGCCGGCGGACACCAAAACCACGACGAACTTCATCGCGCCAATTGAGATTTACTATAAAAGCGCTGAATGTACCTTTAAAGGTGTTTAATAACTACAAAACAAAACGTAAACGAGATCACATTCAGTTTTCTCCATCAGAAGCTGGTGTGGATGTAATGAAGGTCGATGCATCGGTTGTTTTTCCTTCGTTCTCGGTAGATGATGCTGCGCCTCCTCCTTTCGTGTTGCTAAGCGCCCCTCTGGCCGGTAACTATGGCTACTGCGCGCGAGACAGTGATAAAAATGCGTGATATGTCACATAGGCTCGATGTAATAAACACCTTTCGGTCTCTTCATCATCTATGAATGCTTTGGCAGTACATGCGAACAGACCGAGATGCTGAACATAATGAGTGAATTAAAATTGTTTTACCAAAATTTAGAGATTCCATTTTGAACACAAGCATTGTGATTGTAGGACACAATGCATTTATAACTTTTAAGTTTACCCAATATACACCATTTAATGGTTTGGGGTTCGTGAGATTTTTAAATGTTTCTGAAAGAAGTATCTGAACAAGGCTGCATTTATGTGATCAAAAATACAGTAAAAACACGAATATTGTGAAATATTATTACTATTTAAAATAAAAACTCTTGATTTGAATATATTTTAAAATGTAATTTATTCCTGTGATCAAAGCTGAATTTTCAGCATTACTCCAGTCTTCAGTGTCACATGATCCTTCAGAAATCAGTCTACGATTTTATAATCAATAAACGTTTCTTATGGTTATTATTAATGTTGAAAGCAGTTGTGCTGATTGACATTGTTGTGGAAACCGTAATACAACTTTTTTAGGATTATTTGATTAATAGAAAGGTCAAAAAAAGATCATTTATTTGAAGGTCATTTCACCAATGCTTAATGTATCCTTGCTGAAAAAAAATGTATGAAAACAGTAGTTTGTGTTATTTATCAGGTATTTATATATAATATAAATATGATACTGTAAAGAGTATATTTTATACACAACATTGCCAATTATTTTGTCTATTTTCGCTCCATCGCGACAACTGTACCAAACAAAGCCAAACCATACCACGTGACTACGTTTTGTATGCACTAAATACAACTTAAACAATCATAGCGCAAATTACTAACTTGAATTTAAAATCGTCCGAATAAGTAAACTAAGGAGTCCCAAAAATAAAATAAAACCCGGAAATAATAATTTTAAAAAAAAAAAAACGTTCAAGTGAGCAAATTTTAAAGGCGTTTAAGAACATCTGAAGCATTATATTAACCATGTCATTATACTGTATGTCAGAACATTTTTTTTAATTACCTAAAATGTGAAATTATGTAATATGACATATAGTGCAAAATTATAAAATAAAATATTTTTAATATATAAAATATGCCCCATCATTACAGTTGTCTTCACAAATGCTTTGTCTGTAAATATATTTTTCATTTGCAATTTTTGTAAATCACAAATGCAGATTCAAGTCTTTTTTAACGTGACGTCAGTGCTGATTTATTGAATTTGTCTTATTAAAAAAAAAGCATAAGCGTCATCAACAATCTGCTAAAGTATAGATGCAGTGCATTGAAATTATAGAGGTGCACAAACACAGTCCAATATATAGACTACCAAATTATCGAATCTTTATTTATTGAAATGGTTGAGGTATATCTTTAAAGACATATCTATGGGTGAAAAAAAAAAACACTTCAGTCTTTTTATGACTTCAAATGTAAGCTGCTTCTTATCCACTAACCGTAGCTCTGCTTGTTTCATGAAAGCCATTAATGTTCAATATAAATAAAAGAAATCTTCAGCTGCATCGAATCGCTGCATGAAAAATACTTTCTCCACAGAGAAAAACAAAGACATCCGCTGGGCTGGTCAGAAGTCCAGCCACTCAACCATGTAAACACAGTTAGATGGAGAGATTTCACCTCCTTCATGACAGTCATCAAACACCTACAACACAAAGAGGCAACTTAGCACATTAAACCACATGATGTAATCAACTAAAATATGTTGTATCCTATTTATTATTAGGGCTGACAACTTTTTGCCCCAATATATTGAACTTTAGGAGCTCCATAAGTTCCATTATGCAGTAAATTGTCACCAAACAACTCTATGAAATATAAGATGAACTACATAGGTCTGGAATGGGGCGGATGCATACGCATTTTAACACATTATATTTTCCATGTTAAATCGACAGCCAATTCAGACTTTTGATGATTTATTCTAAATATATCAACATTACCGGACACAATCCACACGGTGTTTTGACCAGGCCTGTGGGTTGAATTATGGGATTCACTCCCCTGTAGAGCTTCATCTGTCCATCGACACTCCCCACCGTCCCCTCTTTAGCAGCAATTATGGTCATCTCCACCTTGCCATCAAAGATCAGTGTGTTTAGGATGGTCTCGATGTCCTCCATGGATAGATCTACCTGCGCACAGGAACATCACCATATCTAATAAACCTCTTCAGTTTAATAACTCTGCATTATTAAGATATTATTCCCACTCACTTTGCTGATGCCAAGCTCACAGATGTACTTCCACACTTCATGAGACGTGGCGAATGAGCTGTTTCTTTGCACCATGGGGCTCTGCTTACTGTCTCTCGCTGCTTCGGCCTATAAACAAACACATTAACTCTTCATTTCCGTCACAACACATTACCGCAATTGATGGATTTTTTTCCTTCATTTCTGACACAACGCTGATGGAATCGTCCATAATTTACAACACTTTACCGCCATTTAATTTTTTTGTTTTGTTTTCCGTTTTCAAAAAATGTCTGTTTTCACTGTTATACGGTAGGGGGCGCTATTACACCTCTTCTGAAATAATACAAAATCAGATCAAAACACAGGCAAAGCAGAAGTAACATGCCATAAAAGCATTACTTACGCATAGGTAAGCTAATGAGATCATGAAATATTAAATCATCATATAAATCAAAAACTGCCTAATGTTACCGAAATGAAATGTCGAGCCAAGGAAAAGACTGTGAAGCTTTGGTGGTGTTAATGGACTTGAGCTGCCTGATCATTGCTAAATGATTTTTGTTTGTTTTAAAGCAGAGGCACTGTTCTTTCTTTTAATATATTTTATGTTCCTATATTCATACAACAATATATTCTGGGGGCCATGACATTTTTGTGAAAATTATTAAATGTTGGCACTGACTGATAACCTTTTTTATGCTAACGAGGAACAAGAAGAATTCAAAGTGTGAAAAATGCAAAAATCACAAAGATTAAGAGGAATATGAAATATTACAATCTAACCTTACTTTGCAGGAACTTAAAGCACTGTTGGTTGAGAACCTCAACAAACTCGGACTCGAAATCTTGATCGCTATACCAGGCGCCTCCTGTCACAGATCGGTCCGGCTGCAGGTTATACAGCATGTAGACCTTCTTCTTAGAGGCCTGGATGGAAAAAATCCAAGAGTTTTCAGTAGGTCGAAGGCAAATTAAACATTTTAAACATCTAAATGTTTGAAGGTCAACTCACTGCAACAGACTTCACCGCTTTGATGAGTTTCTTACTCTCGAGATTCTTCAGGATTTTATTGATTTCTGTGAGTGGAAGGTTACTCTTATATCTGATGTCTCTGCTCCAAATTCCTTTAGAAAACAGAAAAAGCAATTAAAAAGAAACTCTTTATCAATATAAATAGATCAGTCACTTAATAAAACAATGCTAAACGCAAACAATAAAAACTGCATTTTACCTTTATTTCCAGCATCCTCTATGATTTGGTAAACTAGTTTTTCTTGGTTATCAGAGCCTTTTACTTTACTGTGAAAAATAAATGCATAAATTATACATAATAAATTACATTTAAGTGCATTTATGTGCATATAAACATATAAATTTGTACATATAGATATATATATATATATATATATATATATATAAATACAAATGTATATATAGCAAATTAAGATGATGTGCTTGCATTTAAAGAGACAAACCTTGCAGACTGAACATCTTTAAGCCTGTATAAAAGGCCATTGCTGTTCTTGAGCAAGTCTAACTGACCCTGAGAACAGAAATAAAGAATCACACATGAGTATAAAGAGCAGAGACACGTTTCATGCAACGTTAGCTGCAGCTGAACATCTCACCACAGACAGCAGTCTGTTGATGGCCGAGGCTCGTTGCTGCGCCTCAACGTGTGGCATGTCATTCTGAATGACCTGGTCTGTGATCCCATGTGGAAACTGCTGACACAGCTCTTTTATGCTTTAACAGAGGGAAAAAATAAGGTCATTGAGCAAAATCACCAACATTTGCTGAAATTCTCGGCACAGCACAAAAAAAAAAAATCTTTGCTCTTCGTTATGTTAAATGGGTGATAAAAAATATTCCTGTCTCAGTCAGTGTAAAATTAAAGATCAAAATTGAACATTTAATTCCGACTAAAAACACTTACAGGGATAGTGCACCCGAAAATTAAAAATAAAATTCAGTCATCATTTACTCACCCACAAATTGTACCAAACCTGTAAGTTTCTTCTGATGAAAACAAAAGAAGATATTTGTAAGAATGTCAGAAACTAAATAGTTAATGGACCCCATTGACTTTCATAATATTTTGTTGTTGTTGTTGTTGTGAGTAAATTATGACAGAATTTTCATTTTGGGGTGCACTATCCCTTTAAACTTTCTCAACATTAAAGGCATATCATTACCACCACGCTTCTGGATCTAAACTTGGTTCGTTTTTGCTATGAACTCAAGTACTTGCAATAAACAAAGTCTACAAAATAGCTCTGATGTTAACTGTAATTGCTTCTAAAAATCTGTCCACGCGTTTTGTCTTTAAGTTAGCTACTGTTTACAGGCCAAGATCGCATGTTAAAACTGTGCTGAACTCACCGATTCTCGATGTCTACAGGGTCCGTTGACTCTTTTTTGACTTTAACTTCTGTCATCGTTCATGAGAAAGGGATTACTTGAGGAGAAAGTCAAATGTCAACAATAATAGTAATAATACATTCATATATCCATTTGAAGTTGAAGTGAAACGCTGTAAATGTCAGTCTGCACTCATCATGTCTCGCGGTAGGCGGGGAGAGTTTACAGGCGGCTGGGTTGCCAGATTGCGCCAGATAAACAAGCAAACGCGTTATCAAACACTAGCAAACATTAGCGACTTCCTTCTTCTGAATAAGTTAAAATAAGCAATTTTCGTCGTTAACACTTTAATCTGGAAGTATGTTGATAAATCCCACAAATGCGATAAACAATATTTATAATCAAAACAAGTGCAAAGTCACGAATAAAAGGAAGACATGGCAACGAAGAAAGCAGATTCTGAACTGAACCAAGTAAAATCTTCATACCGCCACCTACTTTCTGGAGTAATAGAATAATTTCCCACATCATAAGAAGATTTTGTTGTTGTTGTTGTTGATGATTTCTTTCCTGTTTGTTTGGTAACCCTTATTACTTCTCCTATACTGATATCCATTTTTAAATATACCATGTCAATACATTTTTTTTTTCATATTTGATATTGTCTGTTAGACTGTGTGTGTTTGTGCATCTCTCTAACCTTTACTGCATTAAAAAAAATGTTAAAAGCAGATTCATAATGACACTTATCTTCTTTTGTAAGAATAATTAAATAAACAATCAGGCATATTTCTGTTAAAAAGGTTGGGTTTGTGGAAAAACTAAAATGAAGCATCAGTGTGTTTACTTTTCCATTGACGGACATATCTTATGACATACATTAAATACATAATAGGCCTACATATCTATACAAAATGTGTTCTGTATTGTATCGTTTCATAAGCATTATTTGAGAAATGCATAACTGGCCTGTAGGGGGAAGCATTGGCTCACACACATTTTTTTTATATGTAGAATTTATAATAAATAATAATTCATAATATATGAAATAATAATAATGAATAATTCATTCACTTTAGGTAAATAGTCTTTCACATTTCTGCTTGTAATTCCTCTGTTGGATGACATACGATGACAATTTTATTTTAATATAATATTTAGCCTATTTATATTTAATAAGTTTTTTTTTCATATTTTTTGTTATTTTAATCTTATTATTGATGTATTTGTGCACTGTTTTAGGGGCCCCTGTGGACTCCTGCGGGGGTTAACTGGTTATTTTTGCAGGCATAACTCAAAAGGTCAGTAGCTGAGTAAATCATTATTTTGACAAGTGTTTCCATTTTTTTATGCAATATGAATTCGACAGTCAGTATGGGCTGTAACTAAGTTACAAAGAAATCGTTTAATTGTATTTAAGTGTTTAAATCAAGGCAACAACACAGTGATACAACCATACAGTGTAAGTTTTATATTTCATATCATCTAATATTTAATGTGCTTTGTCAAAAAACGCATTATCTCCGAACTTTTGGATTCTTTAATCAAAATGGGGGGGGGGGGTGCGCGCGCATGCGTACTAGGCTATTCAGTTGCTATGGGATACGTGACGACTCAACAGCGTTTCGTGTACAGCAGCGTCGTTGGATACAGCGGTGCACTGCGAGTATTTCCGCAACGTTAATTTCTTTAATTTTACAGGTGCGAGCTACTTAAAACACAAATAGTCAGGATAGTAGCTCATATTTTCTATAGCCTAATGTACTTAACCTTTTAATGCATGTGCTGAATTAAACGCATCTATAGTTTTGTTCAAATGTAGGCTATTTTCCGTCCTATATTGCAGGTTGAAGAGTGCAAACATGACAGCAGGTTCAGTGGCAGCACCTCAAATAATTCCCATTCGCATGCCACCTCCGGGTAAAGCCAAGCATGAGATTGACTCCTGCACTCCTGTAGAGATCAAATCAGGTGAGTCATTGCGGTTTTAACGCACGCTTTTTGTTGCTCGGTATGTGATTGATATATGGCACATGTATCCCAGAATCCTCTGATGTGAGTGTGCTGCTGTACACATTGGATGGCAGTAAGCCCGAGGAGATGAAGAGACTGGGCTCTGGTGGCAACAGCACTATGAAGTTCACTGAACCTATTCGCTTACCTGTGGGGAAAGTGTCTGTGAGAGCCATGGCTGTCACCGCGTGGGTACATTTTATAGTGTGTTGTTGATAACGTTGCTGGGTGTTTCTTCAACTATGGGTACAATTATGTTCCAGGGCCAGGGGAAATTGTTTTTTATTAAAACTAAGATTTTTTTTATACATTTTTTATATTCTGTGCATTAAGTTACATTAAAACGGTGCCTTGAATGTATTTATTTATATTTATTTATATTCCAAAACCCCATAGAGCCCCTAAGATGACATGGCTTTTAAAAAGATGATATGGGAGGAAAAATTTCAATGCGTTTTGGCATTCACTCACAAAACCTTTGCGCTCTCTCACTAAAGTATTGCGCCCCCCTGAGAAAATTTGCATTACCTCACAAAACGATTGTGTTATCTAGAGAAACTTTGCATCTGGAAAAGTGTTGCGTTCCCCTTGCAAACTTTGCATTAGGTTGCAAAAATATTTGAATTGTCTTTCAAAAGTGTTGCTTTTCCCCGACAAACTTTGCGTTCGCTCACAAAATATTAGAGTTCCCTTTCAAAAGTATCGCGTTCCTCTGACAAACTGCATTACCACACACAAATATTTCGTAAGCTTAACGAAACTTTGCGTCTAGAAAAGTATTGCGTTTCCCTGACAAACTTAGCATTCGCCTGCTAAATGTTTTTGTACCTCACAAAACTATTGCTTTATCTAGAGAAACTTTTCTTCTAGAAAATTATAGAAGTTCCCCTGGAAAACTTTGCGTTCTCTTGCAAAACGTTTGCGTTACCTCACAAAAGTATTGCATTCTCTAGCAAAAGTATTGTGTTTCCCTGACAAACTTAGTTTGATCCCAAATTTTGTTCTCTTTCAAAAGTGTTGTGTGTGTTCCCTTGCAAAACATTACCTCACAAAAGTATTGTTTTCTTTAAGAAACTTTGCATTCTCTAGCAAAATTATTGCTTTTCCGTGAAAAACTTGCCATGTTACTTTAAGAACTATTCTATTCCAAAAATGTGTAAAATGTTGTTTTTGTGACTGTAATTTCCGTAAGCGAATGCTATTAAACACAATTTTAAAATGGGGTGGAAATAATATGAAAAATTAAATAAAAACCACAGAATTCTAATTTGATACGTGAGAGAGTTTATTTTCTAAAAGCCAAAAATGCCCAGGTGGGGAAACACCCAGCAACAAATTTAACTTCAAATCGACCCAAATAAAGACCATTTGTAATGTAATGCAGCGATGGCCGACAGAGTGCTGTCGTCACCAAGGTTTTCATAGTGGATCCCGCTTCAGATGAGGATCATGGGGAGGACTCGATGAAGAATAGTGGACCAATCAATGGCAAGAATGTCAGTTTTAAACACATTATCGATTTTTTTCCCCCATAATAACATTGCATGTATTTAAGAATATGTATAAACATTACTTTATGTTAAACAGGATTCATCAAAGAGTTTGAAGGGGAGCGAAAATGGAGCTGGCATTTCCTCTATTCAATTTTTAGGTAAACCTTTTGGTTTTAGTCAGTGTACATTTCTCACAAATTATTATGCATTATTTTTTTTTAAAAATGCTAATAATTTTTACTTCATTACGGTAATGAGAATAATAGGCTATTCAGTAGGCTATTTGGGCAAGGGAGTTTTAATGTGCCATGTCATACGTTGACATGAAAACAATGTAACAACGCAAAAAAAATATATATATATATAGTTATTGAAAATATCAATTATTATTTAAAATAATTGTTATGAATCTCAAAATACATACTCAGTTACATGTCCTTTGACTTTCTTGTGCCTTTTTTTGCATTCTGTTATGTCAGATAGTGAATCTCGAAGAGCTCTGAAAGGTCCTCGATTCCTCTCACAGCGTCTCGGCCCCGGTTCATCTGCACGGCCGACAGATGAAAACCAAGTAAAGGTTTACAACATATGCAAAACACTCTCCAACAACCCTCAATATATTCAGTGTCATCTCAAGCAGGAAACTGAAACAGAACACTTCCTGTTTAACGTCAACATTCTCAATCCCACCAGAACCAGAGTACAGATGTTGTGGAAAGTCCCTTAAGAAGCTTGACAAGCACTCAGACATCACGGATTCAGAGAGAGACGGATTTCCTTAGGTGAGCGAGAGGGAGAGATGTTATTTTGAGAATGAAATTATTTAATAGATCATATATGTAACACCTATTGGCGCTTTTCCACTGCTGGTACGTCTCAGTACGGTTCGACTCGGCTCGACACGGCAAAGCTCGGTTCGCTTTAGCTCGGTTGCTTTTCCACTGCAGTTAGTACCGCGTTAGAGTGGGTGGGATATAGACTGTTCGATAACAGCGGTGGCTGTTACTGGCTATTTAAATCTAGCAGGTTTGGTTTCTCTTGTCGATGTCTATTGGTTGCAAATACAATGACGCTGGTAGTGACGATTCTGTCTGACCAATCAGTGATCTGCAGTGTTTCACGTCACATTTTAGTACCAGTGCGGAACGCTTGGAACCTCAACAGACCAGGTACCATTTAAACCGAGCCGAAGTGAGCCGTACCGTACCATGCAGTGGAAAAGCGCCACAAGTGAGCCGTACCGAGCCGAGCCACACCGTACCATGCAGTGGAAAAGCGCCATATGTTTCTACTCGGACTGCTTCGAGCAGGATTTGAACCGGTGTTTCCGCCATGGGATGCAGGTCCACTAACAAGGACACTAAATTCTGCAGCCTCTATTGCACCTCTTGTGGCCAGGGGAGTGAGGTTAACTTAATACCCACAGCTCTTACTTGCTGGCCTCTGTTACAATCACCCCCTAAACCTCACTCCCATCCGGGTCACGGCACCAATAGATGCGTTTCCACTGCCGGGCCAGGGCCGAACCGTGCTAGTGCGTACCAGGGCCAGTCGCATTTCCACTGTCACTTCCGGGGCTTACTCGGGGTCAGGATTTCTGGCCCGTCGAATACCTTTGGCAAAAGTGGGCCAGCTTGGGCTAGAGGCGTGCTCATCTGAGCATTTGGGCAGAAGAAAGGGCACAACGTCAATGTGACGCGTGTGAAGAAACGAGGACGTTCTAAAATACATTGATGCTGAACTTGTGTAATATCTTTCTGAAGATGTCCAAAGTGCCTGAATCATCGCCCTTCAGACCCTTTTGCCCGATTCTGTCTGCACTGTGGATCACCAGTACCTCCAATACCTGGTCAAAGACTCCCCCCTACTGAAGGAGGACAGGTAATACATACTTTGTTACTACTCAATACCATGGCATTCAGATCATCAGTAATCATTTCCCAATCATATGAGTATTTGCTGTGCTTTATCACAGATGGGTCTGTGCGTGCACTGTAAAACCATGGTGCCTCTCAATACGGCCACATGTGTGGTGTGCGAGTCTCCATTGGCTCAACAACTGCAGCCGCAGGCTAGTCTGAGACTACAGGTAAATGTCTATCCGTAGAGGATCAATTAAATGGATTAATTAAACTAAATCAGAACATCGTATCACTATTATTCTAGGATAAGTTAATCTGTGGCTCGTGTGGGACAGGAAACCCCTCTCACATCACACATTGTGTCACTTGTGAATCCCAGCTGCTTCAGCAAACCACAGTAAGAGCCCCACCTTCCAGAAATCAGCATGAATCAGAAGTCTGCTGAATCATTGCTAGGATTGTTATAGGAGGACACTACAGTGGTTGTAATGGTGCTTTATCATTCCACAGCCCATTTTAAGTGGACAGAGAGCTGCACCTGTACCCAGTTCACAGGGCAAAATGGTCTCCTGCTCCAGGTGCAATAGAGTCAACCACTCGGATGCTCGATTCTGCGACTGGTGCGGTGCAAAGGTGACAAAACACTTTACATTTTGATTTCATGGGGACTTTAAAGGTTCTGTGACTTTTACCATTTAATCAAAATATCATTGTGTATATTTAACGAAGTTTGGTCTATATAAACAAAATGCTGTGTGGTTTTGTGTTGATACATGCAGCCGGGCCACAAAGCCAGCGCTGTGACGTGCTCTCAGTGTGGAGCTAGCAGCCACCCGTATGCTAATCACTGTGGTGCCTGTGGTGTCTTTCTGGACGGCCCACCCAGAACGCCCTCACAAGTAAACCAGGGACAGGACGCACAGGAAGCTGATCAGGTACAGCACACACACTGTTTGGCACTCACAGAGTGTTATACCATTCTCTCTCTCACTCTTGCTCATATAGCCCTCAGCCACCTGGGAGGCAGTTCCTGCGCCTGAATCTACAACCGTGCCTCCAGCTGCGGGTTTGCGCACGTGTGCAGATGCACAGACGCAGACAGTCGGTCTGTTTTTCCCATCCAGCACTGAGCTGAAAAAACAGAGACAACAGAGGGAGGCGGAGCTTAGCAGACAGGAACAGATGAGTGACAGGAAGCCCCTCCTCACTGCCATTAGTCCAGGCCGAGGTAGGCTACTTTACAGTACTTTTTTTTTTTATAAACAAATGAATATACATGACTTTTTGTATTTGCTTTTACTGTTTGTATTACTCAGGGTTCTGGAGGAAGCAGGTGGACCACATCTGTGCTCATCTGCGCAGCTACACACAGAATAATAATGAGTTCAGAGCTCTGATTGGAGAACCGCGGCTGGGCAGAGTAGGACCTCTAAAATTGACACATTTTACATGTATTTTTATTCCTAAAATGTATTTCTTTACTTGCACTAATGTTATTGTATATATGCATATCCTGAATATGTTTTTGCTCTCCAGGTGATCTCTGCTGTTATTCAGGAGGACAGCTATGAAGTCAGTTTGCACATCAATTTCATCTGTGCCTCACCCGAGGGATCTAGGGTAAGAAACACTTCTGAAAGCTTTTATATTGAGTCTGAAGAGAGTCTCTTGAGCATTACATGTTTTTCAGCGTGTGTTGCCTTTTTTTCCAGTCGTCTTCTGCAGGACAGCAGAGCCGATCTGTGGCATCAGAGAGTCTGAACCTCAGTGCTGTGACAGAAGGCAGGAATTCAGCCAGTTCGGGTAAAAAAAAAACCACATGATTGTTTTTCTGTTATGTTTCCGGTGACTTCTACTGCTGTTATACTGAACTAATGATTTTTTCTATTGCCTACTAAGCCTCAAACAAATGTCATTACGAGACCTTTTACATGACACTCACATTTTCATGGTGAGGTCCCTTTGACTGGCCCTAATTATTAACTTAATCACGCAAGAGAAATATATATATATATATATTTAATTATTATTAAGTAATAAAATATTGGTCCTTGTAATATTTAATAGTACTTTAATATGTTTATTAAGCCATTTTCCCTGTGGGACAGTTGACTGACCCCTGTTACTTCAGAACTTAATTGTTTCCATTATTAATATTTTCAATTAGTAACGCCATCTTAATTATTAAAATAATACATTTTTTCATGTGCATTTGTTTCTCTTACTACTCTTTTTGATACATCTATTTATTATTTACTCATTAAAAGAAAATGATCAAAGTGACTATTTTTTTTATGTGACTATGTTGTTTGTACAGAGAGTAACATTAATACAACAGGATTATCAGCCAAAAGAAAGAAGCAGAAAATGATCAGGACCCCAGACGCTACAGAAAAGCAGTCGGTCAGCATCACACACACACACACACAATAACACAATAACCCTTTTCATAAGACAAAGAATAGAATGTTAATCTCTTTCTTAGGAGTCTAAAGACAGTGTTCTCCTTAAGGAGGTGGGGCCTGAGGGGCGGGGCCGGATCTCAGTGGTGCAGCAGCTATTGGATGAGGTGAGGCTAAAGAAGCAATCACAGCACTCCAAACATCAGCAAAATTCATAGCTTGAAATTACTCAAAGGGTTAGTTTACCCAAAAATGTCAATTCTGTCAGTACGGTAATAACTCACCCTTGTGTTATTTCAACCCCGTAAGACACTCAACTTGCCGAGCCAGAAAAGTTATTAAAGACAACGTTAAAATAGTCCAAGTGACTACAATGGCTCAATCTTAAAGAGTAACTAAACCCTAAACCAACATTTTTTAGTTAATGATCGGTAAGGATGGATCTTTATTAATACCAGTCATTGATTCGAGTAACTTTTTTGACATTTGTGTATAAAGTGTTTTATTTCTACAATATATGGTGTAAAAACGTCTTAGTGCTGCCCTCTTCAGGTTGAACGGTGGCTACTGCAGTTGAATTTTCCTATTGGATGTTAGCGGTTCTTCGTGACGTACGCACGTTTCAGCTCACCACGCTCTTGGTACGAGCTACGCCCTTGGCAGTATAAAAACCAGCTTGTTTCGTCAAAACCACTGCAGCGAGTCAGGAGTTGGAATTGCGAGTACTGAAAACGATCAGGATAGAGTGTTTTAGCATCTATTTCGTCCCCTCTATCTCCGCTTGGGTCTTCTCTGTGGGTCTCGAGCGAGTTCAGGTAATGTAACAGCAGTAAATTTACATTTTTGGGTAAACTATCCCTTTAAGGTGCGATCAAAATGTTTTATAGTCAAAATCAAGAAGAATCGGGAAATCTCGAAATAAACTTGCAATTGCGAGAAATAAAGTCAGAATTACAAGATTGTAAACTTGCAAAACTTGTAAACTTATGCGAGTTATACAGTCAAAATTGTGAGACAAAAAGTCACAATTACCGGTACCAATACTTGCAAAAAGTGTTTGTTTTTTTTCTTGCAATTGTGAGTTTATTATCTCGCAATTATAACTGTATAACTCATCTAGACAATTTCTAATAATTCTAAGAGGAAAAAAGTCAATAATTGCGAGTTATAAAAGTCAGTAATTACCTTTTTTTTAATTCTGTGATGGAAACAAGCTTTCATAGGGTTAATTGCATAGCTATATAAACATGTAAAAGGTGTGTTTTAAATGCGTCTCTGCAGGGTGCTGATCCAGCATGCTTGGGAAGTGAAGGGCGTCCTGCTCTGATTGCTGCAGTGCTAAACGGGCATCATGATGTCATTCCTGTGCTGGTGCAGAGAGAAGCTGACGTTAACCAAACATCTGGACCGTGAGTTCGAAAACAAGCTTCAAGGTAATTTTGATATGTCCAGTAATAATCTGAGCTAAACTCTGTGTTGGTCGCAGGTTGAATAACACGGCCCTGCATGAGGCTGCAGCTCTGGGAAATGAAGGTCTGAAGAGCGTTGAGATACTCCTGGGGTGAGATTCACAAACACAAATGGTGTTAAAGTTACTAAGGCTTGATTTTAAAATAATATATCTCGGTCTTGTATAGGTGTAACGCAAGTGTCAGAAAGCAGAATGATCGGGGCCAGACGCCGTATGATATTGCCGTGGCCGCCGGAAGCAGTTCTGTGCTCTCTCTGATGGCCGCTCACATGGGACAAGGTCTGCTACAGCGCCACACCAAGGCCAGGAGCGTGTTTGGACTGGATACGTTCTCATGAGACAATCCACATCTCACTCAAACCAAATCTAATCAGCGCAATACTGTACTTGGGGAGTTATTTAGGTCCTCCTGGATTTAAAATCTCCACCTTTTGTCCCTGCATTGACAGCTACTCAACTAGACTCGATTGTAAAATTATCCATATGAATTGAGTGGTTTAGTCTAAATTTTCTGAAGAAACATCATCGCCTTGATTAACAAATTGAATTTAGGCTTTTAAAAAGATTAAAATTATGCTTTTATTCACATAATCAGTGAACATAAACAAAAGCTCAATCGAACCTGCTTAGCGCGCGAAAAACAAACCTCTTTGGTTGGTCTAGCTCAAACGTGCTGCGCAACACGAGAATGAACCTCATTGGTTCTCGCATGCGTGCACTTCCGTTCACCACAGCTGATGTGTTTATGAATGTTTATGTGAATAAAAGCCTCGATTTATTGTTCTTTATATAAAATTAAAAAATTCGGACCAAACCATACAATTCATTGTTTTACGATCGCTTTAAGAACTTTACGAAGCGTCAAAGTATCAGTTGCGTAGCTGTCAATGGATGGATAGGAATCTATTAGATTTCATCAAAAAGATCTTCATTTGTGTTCCGAAGATGGAACGAAAGTCTTACAGGTTTGTAACATGAGGGTGAGTTATTAATGAAAGAATGAAAACATTTTGGTAAATCCAAAATTTGCGTAAACAACTTGAACGCATTGCATCTCGAAAGTATCGGATTTTGCCTGTGAACGCTCACAGAACAACGCTGAATTAAAATCTCTGAAATTGATTTAAATTAAACTTATAACTAGGGAGTTTCCTTTCCTTACCCATTTAAGAAAATCCAGCAACTTGGTTTCATTGTGTGTATGCCATACCGGTAATTACACACATTTATTTGTCTTGTCTGTCTTTATAAGTTTTTTTTTGAGACTGTACAGGTACTGATTCCCATTGTTTCCATTGATAAAGCAAGATGATAATTGTGTTCTGTTTAATTTTCGCTCTTTCCAAACTACACTGTGCCATTGGCGTATCTAGAGGCGGCAGCCAATGAGCATGAGGATTTTCTCCGACCATTTACTGTATAATTAAAACACTTACTGTATTAATAGAAAAAAAAAATCTATTCTGAGTAGACTTCATCTCATGTGAGTGAACGCCATTCAGATGACTCTTAATATTAGCACCAAACTACTGAATCCAGCTTTAACAAGAAAAATAAAAAAAAGACACAATATTGAATATTTCAATATTTAATTAACAGGTGGCATCATTTTTATAATTGTGTGTGCATACAAAAACACCAATTTTTCAACTACAAAAAAGACGCATTAAAGGAATAAGAGACTTATCATCACGGTGTGTATACAGAAACAAAATATCCTTCGCTTTGTTTTAAACATCGAACCACACAAAAAAAGAAATAGCATGTCAAACTAAGCCTCAAACGGAAAGTAACGCGACAAATATGACTGAAAACACCAACAAACACTCCCAGACTTACATTTCTGTTTCCGGTTTGTGTGTGCATCATGCGATGTCCTCAGCGGCGCAACCGCAGGAAGAAAGCGTGTCTGCACTCTTTGCTGTCCACCGGGTAATATTTATCATAGAAGTCCAGGATGTACTCCTCTGTCTTGAAGCCGAACTTCTGGTAGAGCAGCATGGCAGGGTTGCTCGCCGATACGTGAAGGGTCACATCCTTTCCCATACATGTCTAGACGAGACAGGAAAGAGATCCCTGTATGAACTAGGGCTGCACAATTTGGGGGGAAAAATCTAAGTGCGATTTAAAATGTGCTAAAAAATATATGAACTGTTCTGAAACAAGCAGCGCATTTAATTAATTAATTAAATGACACCCTAAACCATATCACGATTTCAGTTTCTCACCTGAATGAGATGGTAAATCATGAACGTGGCGATACCAGCTCGCCTCCATTCCGGATGCACCAGCAGGAAGGAGATGTAGGCCTCGTTGTACTTCACATCTGGCACCATGAAACCAAAACCGATCACGATTTTCTTGTAAAGCACCACTACGCTGAAGTCTGGGTATTGGAGGCACTCTGATAGGTCGATACCTGATGGGCAAAAGACCCCATTTTTATTCCTTCAGGAACTAGTTTTATCCAAAAATCTGTATTTGACAGGATGAAATGATGATTACCAGGCCAGAAGATTTCTTGGCACATGGAGTTGACAGAAGGGATGTGATTGGGCCGTACGTAGCAGTAGTCTATAGGTGCGTCAGGTTCAGCTTCCCAAGTCGGGTCCTTCTTGTGATGGTACGCACGGATCTCTGAGAGTAAACGCATCTTCAGCGGCCGACTCTCGTAGTCTCTCCTACACATAAACACACACAAAGCTATTGAGCAGGATTCTGTAACATGGTTGAGTCATATGTTAATGTCCTCAAGGCTCATAACTGTGACTCAGGATTGAAGCTTAGTTTCGATAAATTATTTGGGTGGAATGAACATCAACTAGGGGTGCATTTGTAAAAAACATGGTCATTAGGAATATACAAAATTTTGTTACCATTCATAAGTTTGGGGTCAGTAAAAAAAAAATTCAAAAGAAATTAATCCTAAAATGCATTAAATTGATCAAGTGACAGTAAAGACTAGAGCCAGACCGATATTATCGGATGATATTAGGCATTTTCGAAACTATCGTATCGGCAGTTATAATGGCCGATAAATGAATATTTCAAAAATAACATAAAAACAGACAAAACATGCTTGAACCATGTCATGAGTGTTGGAGTTGTATAATAGTTTGTCCACTCTACACCGTTCCTGTTGGCAACACTCGTTGAATTGTTCACGATACATACATAGCTTGAATAACAATTAAAAGATCATCCTCATCAGTTCTCTTAACTCAAATAAGCATGACAAAATTTGTGACTATCATGTCCGGTTGAAAAAAATAAATAAAAAAATAAATAAAATATCGGCCGATATATCGGAATATCGGATTTTAAACCCCAAAATATTTGTATCGGTATCGGCCTTCAAAATCCTTTATCGGTCGGGCTCTAGTAAAGACATTTATTATGTTGCGCTAATTTGCACTATTTTAACTAAATGTGTTTCTTCTCTATTTATCAAAAATATAAATATATAGAAGCAGCACAACAACACTGATAATGACAAATAATAAATGTTTCTTGAGCAGCAAAGCAGCATATTAGAATAATGATGCTGCAAATTCAGCTTAACATCATAAAAATAAATTGGATCTTAAATTTTAAAATAAAAAACAGTCCTTTTAAATTGTAGTAATATTTCACAAAATTACTGTTTCACTGTATTTTTGGTCACATAAATGCAGCCTTGGTGAAAAAGCTCATTTAAATAAATGTCTCACTGTGTATACTATAAAAACATCATCATATTTAAAAAAATGGTTATATCTCTAAAAAAATACTTTGAAAATCTGTAATTGTCTATGTTGAAAGCCATTTCCAAAGTTTCGTTCCTGTACTAAAAACTAATAAAAATATGTAAAAAAAAAAAAAAAAAATTCCATGGGTCAACACGGACATGAATGCAATAGGAAAACAAAACAGAAAGAAATCCAAATAAAGGGTATAAAATATAAAATATTTTCTACATTTCAAAATGGACTTGCCACCTGTTTTTTTTTTTTGACATATTGAGTCAATGCTCCGATGTGTCCATGTGTGTACCTGATGTATGGCTTGAGCACTCTGGATGTGTAGGGACTCTTGATGGTCTGATCCATGCAGGCATCAGAACCCATTAGCCTGTGCCAGAAGGACACTGTCGGCTGATAGAACCCTTTCCTTATGGACACTGTTGACTGAAAAAACAAAACACAAGTCATCAAAACAAGCTTCTCAGTTGAAGTTAAATTACATAACCATACAGGTTTTCTTCTAGCTTACCTGAAAGCGATCGAGAATACGAAGGTCCTGGCTGGTGGTTCTGTATTTCTCCTCTCTGCTTGTCCTGTGGCTGGCCAAACCCCCATGTGCCCCATACACGCCCCCCACCAGGCTGAGTGTAGCACTCACGGCCTGATCCACATCCAGCAGGGGAAGCCCTCGCTCTCTTTTCGCCTGCCGCACGAGTAGCTTGCGATGCAGCCTTTTGGCCTGTGGCGTGACGGCCAGCGCTTGCGGACAGGCCTCTAGCTTGTGGAGCAGCATGCGCTCCTCGTAAAGGCTGATGAACGTGTAACGAGGGGCGGGCAAAGACACGCAACCCTCAGCCTTATCCTGGAGAACCTTCCTCCGCTCTATACCGCACCCCCGTCCCGTCGGCAACAAGGCTTCATCCTGGCCCTCGTCTTCCTCGCCATCTCTACCCCGCTCCTCGTCTTCACTCTCCAGTTCTTGTTTGATCAGCTCGGCCGGACGTAGCTTTTTCCTGACCATGATAGTGCCAGTGGCCAAAGGCATGCTGGGAGGGGGTATATACTCCATCCCGGGGTCGATAACACCCTCAGCATCCAATTCTTCATCGTCTGAAGGAAAGTCATACAGTGATTGGAGATGAAGTGAATGAATTTTAAAATATCAATATATCAGCTATAAAACAAGGAGTGGTTGGACATTTTTAGGGTGTTGCAAAGGTGCTCTGATTGGGCACTAGGGCGTTTCTATGGTTCTTCGAATGTTACTATGTGAGTGCTACCTGGTATCAAGATAAAGACCCCTCAAGGTAAGTCTATGCCATCTTTTCACCTATTTTAGCATCTATCAGGTGGAAAATGTAAGGCCCTGTGTCCACCAAACCGTATTTTTCCAATTGTTTTCAATGGGAGCGCCGCGTTCTTAAAACGGCAGGGGCGTAACTAGGCGCTGAGCGTCTTATTTCACACTGAAGCCCTGAGCGCTCTGTGTTTTTTACCAGTCGCCGAGAGTTGTGTTTAACTTTGGGTAAAACGCAACGCTCATCGCTGTTACTTTTTACCCAGCCGTCCAATCACAGTGGAGGAGGGGCGGGACAAATACCACACCGACCAAATGCCACATTCTGCTTATATAACGTCAACAGATGAAAACAACAGGCACAGTAGCTGAACAAAATCATTCAAAACAAGAGCCAGAGCAAATAGTTGACAATGTATCGAAATGAGATCATAGTAACACTTCCGCTCATATTCTTTATCAACTTAAAAAAACGCTGCGCTGCCAAAACCCTCTCAAGCGCCCATCGCTAAGCGTTTTCAACTGTTGGACACACGGCCTCAGTTTGTTTAGAAAAGTAACTAAGGCCTTGTCCACACGAACTTGGGTATTTTTATAACCGTGACTTTTTTACGCGGTTCGGCCGTTCGTCCACACGGAATCGCAGTATCATGACACTGAAACTGAACATTTTAGAAAACCCCTAAATTGAGGATTTTCAGAAATGCCGGTTAGTGTTGTCGTGTAGACAGTAAAACAAAGGTTTTTGCATTGTGACGTCAGATTGTGCGCCGTTTTCCGCCTAGCAGACAGCATTTTGTTAGGCTTCTGATTGTCCAACGTGGCTTTACGGTTAGGGTTCTATCGCCTGCTGGTGTGGCATGCTCTTGATAGCATGTTTTTTGCGTGTTGATGTGGACAGGATTGTATTTTTTAAATGCAGGAGGAAAACCCCGTGTCCGTGTGGAAAAGGCCTTAGTGTTTGTTCAGTAAGCTTGAGCATCATCTCACCGTGGAACAGAGCTTGAGGGGGCATGACATCCGGGATGAGATCGGCCTCTGACAGCAGACTGGGCGTAGCAGAGTGTGAGGCGGGCGTTCCAGGGGCGGAGAAGTCGGGCGAGGGGGAGGGGGA